CCAAACATCCTTATTTGTCAATAATAATGCAATATAAATTTCTAAGTGAAACTAAGAGATCAACTGAGGTTATTTTAATTTCAGAAAACTAATTTTTTTAAGGAACAATAAATGATTCAGAATAATGACTATCTTTGGTAAAACATAAATTCCCATGAATCTTGATTTGACATACATTAACTAAAAATATTTCAGACCTATATTACTAACTAATACTCAGGACAAAAATAACCTTGAAAATCAAATATGACTAATAACTCTTAAATTTATACTAATAAAAACTAGAATGTATAACCAACAATCAAAAAAACTGCCTCAAATATCTTAAAACTAGTTTACCAGAACAACCACATCAAGAATCAAAGGAGAAACTGGAACAACAGGGTAAATGGTAGTGCCATTCATTGAGACAGAAGTACTGGAAAAGTTCCAGATGGAAAAGGACAGTTAATAAGTTCAGGGTTTAAAGTCACTGAGTTTTAGCTGTTTGTGAGACATACAAGTAAAAAGGCTAGACTTACAGGTTTGGCACCCAGAGAGAGAAATGTGTACTAGAGATTGAGAAGTGAGAGTTATCAATATACAGGGTGGCCATAAAGTTCATGGGCAATTTAAAATTGCACACCATTTTAAACTGCAAACAAACTTTATGGCCACCCTGAAGATAAAGAAAGAAGCCCAGCCAAAGGTGGCCTAGGAGAAACAAAAACATTTAAAGGGAGAAGCAGCTAGGAAAATGTGCTACCATAGGAAAAAACGTGTTTAAGAAAGGATCAAATGCAGATGAATTAAGAAACTAAAAAGTAAATGAGAAATGAGAAAGCATTGATAACAAATAAAGACAACTTTTTCAAAAAGACTGAATGATAAAGAGAAAGAAACAAGACTGTTGAAGCTAAAGAACATACAAAGGCAAGGGGGACGGGTAGTTGTATGGAAAGGTAAAAAAAATAAACATTGTTTCAATGCTTAGGAGAAAGATCCACTACAAAGAGAGACGTTGAAAATACAGGATAAAGCCAGGAGATGACAATCCCTTGAAAGTTTAGCTGATGGAACACAGCCATCCTTTCCTATTACATGGAGAAAGGAAAGTTAAGGGCACATTCATTCATCCAATAAATATTTAAAATTATCCACTCTGTTGCCAGAATGTAGAGTGAATTTGACTTGATAACTGGCAATTAAGGAGATTCAATCTGTTGTTTCTATATTCTCAGTGAAGACGACTCAAGATATGTATAAAATTGTTCTAGATACACAATGAGTCTTAACCTCTATTCCTTTATAATTAGGTATCCACCTGTATCGTCAAAATAATGCACAAATATTGCTCAAAATACATAAGTTGAATAAAAGAAAGCATATGGTTATCTATACAAATTAGAAAATTCTGAGTCTATAACATGTAATTTCATCAGATTTTTTTAAAGCTGTTCATTTTACAGTTTTTCAATCTTTTGCATGTGTAATAATCTTTTAACATTACTGGTGACAGAACAGTAGGAAAACGGGGGGAGATACTAATATCAAGAATGAATGGCTAGGCATGGAGGCTCATACCTGCAACCCTAGCACTTTGGGAGACTGAGGCAGAAAGACCATTGAGAACTAGAATTAGTTATAGTCAACCTAACCTAATGCTCTGTCAACTTCAGGTGAGTCCTGCCAGTCCATTCTCAGCCGCTCATCTCTTTCTCTAATTCATCTTCTACCCAGCTTGCCAAATTTTCTTCATGAGTAAAAATCTAATTATATCATTTTCCTAATTCAACACATCAATTCTCTATTTCATACAAAATTAAGCCCGAATTCATTTATCTGGTATTCAAGAATGTTCTTAATCTAGCCTCAACCTGCTCCTCCATCTTCAGCATTAAAACACGAAAATTTTCATCACTGTCAGAACATGTCTACTCCCAATGTCGCACCTTTGCAAACACTACTCTTGCTTTCACTGTTTTCTAATTCTTTCTTTCGTTCTTTACCTAACCTCTATGCTTCAAAAGTCAACCCCTTCACATATGCTTTACGGTAGATTTAGCTTTATTATTAGTTCATACTAACATCAAGAATGAATAGCCAGGCATTGGGGCTTGCACCTTTAGATAACAAATGCTTTATTCAGAAGGGCTCAGAAAATACAATCTAACTAAATGAGTAAACTTTCTTTAAAAGAACTTCCAACATAGAAATAATATACCTAGAAAAAATTTCGACCTCTACTTTCTATGCACCTTCTATGTACAAAAAATACATAGAATAAAGAGAAGATTTTTTTGTAAAATTAAGTCACATATAGACAGGATCAAAAAGTGATCAAGGTGATCGCTAAAGACCAATTGCCCCAAAAGTGTTATAACCATTTTTAACCAATGAACTTACTCATACAAATCTGGGCATATTTTAGAATACTTATAAAATTAATCTAGTAAATTCTAAATAATTCCCCTTTGCCAAATGCATAACAATTGAATACAGCTAGCTTAAAAATAAGTCATCAATACTAGGCAGTCAAATTAAAATCTTTCTTGACATCTTTGTATAGTTGATAGGAAAACATTTTTTTTTAACCATGATGTATTAGTGTAGATGGTTAACTACAGCTATTCTAGATACCTATAATACTATTATTCTAGGTACTCTAGGAGAAGGTAAAGTAATAACATATCAAAATGGCACACAGAAGTATGAAAAGGTGCTCAACATTAATAAATACCAGGAAAATAAAAATTTAACTCACAATGAGAAATCACTATACACCCACAGAATGACTAAATATTTTAGAACACACTAAGCAAATTGTTGGCAAAGAAGTAGAACTAAAACTCCCACAATAATAGTGAATGTGTAAATCAGTACAATCACTTTGGGTAACTTCATCCATATCCTCTAAACCTGAAACTATGTATACCCCATGGCTCAACAATTTCATACGCAGGTATATACCCTATAGAAATGTATGTATGCGACACCAAACAACATGTACAAAATTCATAGCCACATTATTATTCTAAACTGGAAAAACACCTATATATCTAGTAGTATTGGAATGGAAAAATAATACATTCATGTACATCATATATAATATCCTATTTCTAATACATGGTCTAATGTATCATAATACATTCATCCATACTCTGAAACATATCAAAACAATGAAAATTAACAATTTATATGCAATGACAAGAATCTCACAAGCATAATTTTAAACAAAAGAAGTAAACATACTTCTATATACACGTATTCTCTAGATCAGGAGTCCTCAAACATTTTAAACA